CGATTCCTTATATGACATTTACTTTGAATTATAAAAATAAATTAGAGAAATTTTTTTAAAAAGTTTATTTTGGGAGAGTGCAAGTAGGGGAGGGGCAGAGAGACAGAGAGAGAGGGAATCCCAAGCAGGCTCCACACCATCAGCACAGAGCCCAACATGGGGCTCAAACTCACAAACCGTTAGGTCGCGACCTGAGCTGAAATCAAGAGTTGGACGCCCAACCGAGTCACCCAGGTGCCCCTCAAAGACTTTTCATGTGCTTTCAAGAAACATTTCTCTTCATGTTTTCTAGAAGGCTGTATTGCAGTCAAGAGTGGTACACCAGGGAGGAGAACAGTGCAAAAACCATTTAAAAGAAGGACACAAAGATACTTGATTTCATAACATATGTATTTTGAAGTGAAGACGACATAGATTTTCTTTTTTACTTCTTTCAGATGTTTTCTTAAGTTTGTCCAATTTAGTCATCCAGTTGACAAAGCAAGGCAACCCCACGCTTGATCCAGTGTTGAGTGGGTTGGTCTGTCTTTAACAACATTGCAATAACAAAGTTGGTAGAATGTCCTGTTGTGGAGAGAGTTCCTTTACGTTCACTTGTCTTGTAAAGGGGACAGGTGTAGGCATTCGACTTCACAATCTCAGTCTTTTTAGCTTGGAAAAGAAAGAAATACATTCATTTGCTAAAGGGAAAACAGCCATTGGTACTAAACAACTTTTTTCATACTAAATCTAAGATGATTATGATATTTGAACACTTCAATGCTGTTATTGTTGTTTACAGTTGGGATATAATTATGGCTGTGAAACAAGACAAGTGATTTCATACGGGGCATGATTCTAGGGCTAGAGGACAGGAATCGGTTCTAAGTTCTGATGACTTAGCTGGCATGAAAACACTCCAGAGGACCTGGGAGAGGAGGAGAAGGTAGGGAAGAAGTACTAAAATCCAGCACATGTAATGCAGCAGACCCTGCTGCTTACAGCCCTAATACAAGAAACGCATAGATCAGAAGAAGCAGAACTTACGGTTTGCTTTCAACAGGTTGTTCTTAAGAAAAACACACCAACACTTACCTACTCACAGAAAGAATCTATATATTATCCTTGAAAAGCCAAATATGAGATATTAGGAGTCTTTCTAAACTAAGGCCACATTTCTCATAATTGAACTGTGTTAATAAAAATATTTAATGGGCTCAGTGGTGATTGTGGATAATTTGGACATGCTTCCATTGATAGTTATCTGAGGACAAAAAAACCTAGAGAAGAAAAAACAAAAGAATGAGCCTCATTTGTTCGGACTTGTGGGAAAATGATGATGGCCAGAGGAGGGAAGGAGTGAGTCTTTCCCAGGAGGGCAGAGTTGGCTTCCCCGGCCTTCCCACCTGTGACTTGCAACATCTATGCCTGTGGGCACCTGTCTGGGTCCTAGGCCAAGGAGTTTCTTGTAGCCAGAAGAGTCTAGCCACTGGCTGGTGTCAAGCCTACGTGTCTCTGAGAGGTGTACAAAGGCAGTTCAGAATCAAAATATTGATGGGAAGCCCTGGACTCTGGAAAAGTAGAAGTGGGGGAGGGCAGAGAAAATGTTACATCCCTTGGGATAAGAGCAAAAAGAGGCAGAATGATATTCCTGAAATAATATGAATGCAACACAAAACGGGAATAATATATTCCCAATGTAAATAGTAAGTCACTAAAAAAATTTTTTTTCTTTCTGCAGTTTATTTTTTATCATTTACATCCAAGTTGGTTAGCACATGGTGCAACAATGATTTCAGGAGTAGATTCTTTAAGCCCCTTAACAATTTAGCCCATCCCCCCTGCCACAACCTCTCCAGCAACCCTCTGTTATCCACATTTAAGAGTCTTTTATGTTTTGTCCCCTCCCTGTTTTTATATTACTTTTGCTTCCCTTCCCTTATGTTCATCTGTTCTGTGTCTTAAAGTCCTCATATGAGTGAAGTCATATGATATTTGTCTTTCTCTGACTAATTTCACTTAGCATAATACCCTCTAGTTCCATCCACGTAGTTGCAAATGGCAAGACTTCATTCTTTTTGATTGCCGAGTAATACTCCAGTGTGTGTGTGTGTGTGTGTGTGTGTGTGTGTGTGTGTAGTGCATCTTCTTAAAAAATTTTTTAATGTTTATTCATTTTTGAGAGACAGAGACAGAGCATGGTGGGGGAGGGGCAGAGAGAAAGAAGGAGACAGAATCCAAAGCAGGCTCCAGGCTCTGAGCTGTCAGTACAGAGCCCGACGCAGGGCTTAAATTCACAAGCTGTGAGATCATGACCTGAGCAGAAGACAGACAACCAACTGAGCCACCCAGGTGGCCCTAAGCCACTATTTATTGTAACTGAACAAAGTCTTAATAGATTTGAGCAGAGACTTATTTGGGGGAGCCATTAAAAAATGTCTATCATTATCCTCCCTAAAACTCTAACAAATTTTGTTAGGAGTATATTTACTTGGTTTTATCCATATGATGGGCATCAGGTCAAAGAGAAGTTTGGGATGTTGCTCAGCAAGCAATCCACTGTGAAGAGAAATGGAAATATTTATTAGAAATAAGATGAAATTTGCTTCTAGAAATTGCTACTGAGATATTGGCTTTTAATACAAGAGAGGACTGGAAATATGCAGAGAAAGAAATATAAAACAAAACCAAGGAGGAAGCAATGAATAACAGTGGACAAATACCAATTCTTGCCGCTTTTTAAGTACCATCCATGAAGCACACACTATCTTATCACATTTGATCATCACCATGATCTTGTCCCCTTCCTTTTCCACACACAGGTGAACAGTGAAGGCTCAGAGAGGTTGAACAGTTTTCTCATAGTAACACAGCTCTTAAGTGCCAGAGTCAGGATTCAAACGTACATCTGCCTGTCTAGTAAACCTGTCTTCTTTTCCCTGTGCTATATTGTTTATTTATTTGTTTGAGAAAAGGAGGGAGGGAAGGAAAGGGAGGGACAGGAGAAAAGATGAATACATATATTCATCTATGTAAGTTAAATGATAAAAATGGAGAGGTGTGCATCGGTGGCTTAGTCAGTTGGTTAAGCGTCTGACTCTTGATTTCAGCTCAGGTCATGACCTCACGGTTTGTGAGATCAAGCCCTGCGTAGAGCTCCATGCTGACAGTACAAAGCCTGCTTGGGAATCCCTCTCTCTCTCTCTCTCTCTCTCTCTCTCTGTCAAAATAAACTTAAAAAAAAAAAAAAAAGGAAGAGAGAAATAACCAAATGAACTAGGCGCAGCTAAGTCTGCTCAGAGCTCGGTCTTGGAATTATCTTTGTAATAATACAAAGGAGCTCCTTCCTGCTCCTCCTCAAGCGATTTTCTGGGTCTCAACATTCAACCCTCCCTTGAGAGCAAAGCCTAGCCCTGACCCTGGAAATAGAGGGTTATGCTTATTAACGGACTGATAAAGAGCAGGGCTCCAAGGGAAATAGTCTCTCCCCTTCTCTCTTACTCCTATGTATCTTATTTATTTTTTTAAATTTTATTTATTTTTGAGACAGAGTGAGAGTGCAGAAGAGGTGCAGAGAGAGAGAGAGAAGGAGACAGAGGATCCGAAGTGGGCTGCATGCTGACAACAGAGAGCCCGATGTGGAGCTTGAACTCTGTGAGATCATGACCTGAGCTGAAGTCAAGAGCCAGGCGCTTAACTGACTGAGCCACCAAGGCCCCCCACCGCTACGCATTTTAAAAAGAATAGCAATGCTTGGTTTCCTAAGCTGGAAATTCAGTATTTATTTTAAATATTTATTTATTTTGTCATATAAGAGAAAGTTTTCCATTCACTAACAGAAATGGGAAGTTCATTCTAACTGTGAAATGTTCAAAAGTTAGGTGCTCCTGCACATTACAAAATGGAAGGTAACAGTCCTAAAACAGAAGAAGTAAGAAATAATTTCAACTAACTTTTCTAGTCATAAGACCATTGAAATATTAACTAAAAATTCTTCAGGACCTAAAAATACTCATTTATCAATTGCCCCAGCATGAGTAATGATTTATGGCAAGAATTCTGATATTGTTTTTTACTTGCCATAGTCCCTAGAAGAGCCCTTTTGTTGCAGGGGTGGGGTGGGGTGGGTGGGAAGCAGTGTTTTACTTATTCATCTGCAATGAAGAAGTCTCGGCAGTTGAAAGCCCTGACCTTGTTCGGGACCAGCGTGCTCCATCAAGATATAACCCGTGGATGTAAACGCCGTCCTCTGGCGCCGTCTCAGATGTATCTGAAGGAATAACCTGAAGGGAGAGGCACATGCTAATAACGGTCTCTTCCCCAGACAACTTTGTTTCAGAAGGAAAACATCTGCTCAATTTTCAGAACATACTCAGGGAAACGCGACTATATGATAGGTTGTGAAACTATAAATTTTTCAGTAGGAGTGTAAGTGTCAAAATGTATAATACAGTTCTTTTTGAAGCATTTTATCACTTTTTATTGTACCTCATGTTTTTGCTGAAACCGGAGAGCAGCATTAGATGATCTAAGTTAAAAATGGAGATATATATCTAAGTCCTATCAGACGTAGCAAGGCAAACATACACTTTCTTCATGAAACACAAAGAATGGAAAGAAGTCATTTATAATGGACCATAAAAATATGAATCCTGCATATCTTCCTTGATTAACTACATGATTTTGAAATAATGATATACTGTGGAATTCAGGGGGGGTTGTACCTCAAATTCATATCCTAGTAAGTCGATAGGGATGGTATATTTTCTGGCATAATTCTGCATCGCTCCAGTGAGAAAGGCTTGGGTGAAAAAGAATCCTGAGAGCCAAAACACACAAGGTTTTCCTGAAGTATACCAGTCCTGGAAGGGGAAAACACAATGCACTATGTTCATTTCCAAACTCACATGAGCACCACCTGATCTGTAATTCCTGATTCTGGCTTGTGTGTTGTCCACACTTTCCACCACAGGACTCTCTTCCCCAACACAAACACGCAACCTACCTTGACCTTCTACCTCTTTTCCCTTATAGTCACTCTTCTTGGATAATTCAAACTAATTTTAACATTAACCTGAATAACACAAAGTTTGAAAGGTTCAAATCTACAAAGAGCTGAGAGTAAATTATTTGGGGATGTGTGACTTACTCCCACTCAAAAGCAATCATCTTCAGATATCTCATGCGGTATATGACAGAGTGTTGATTCCAGCTCCTTAAAACTCTGGACTCCCCCCTGCCTCCACGCTTACTTCAGTTCAGATGTCCATTGTCTTTTTTCTGTATCGATGTGCACGTCTTCTCACTTCTCCCCTCTCTCTGCTCAGTACATCTAGAGTAATGTTTCCAGAGTATACCTCACCATGCATGGTTTGGATTGGATTTAGCATCTTGCATAATTCTTCAGTAATCTCCTACTACTCTACCAAATTAAAGTCTAAGCACCTTAGTCTCCTATTTAACATACTTCATAATCTAGCCCCAAATTGTATTTCCAGCTTGATTCCTTTTTAAAATGTTTATGTTTATTTATTTATTTTGAGACAGAGTGTGCGCACGCAAGCGGGGAGGGGCAGAAAGAGAGGGAGGGAGAGAATCCCAAGCAGGCTCTGCTCTGTGAGTGCAGAGCCTGACGAGGGGCTTGAACTCATGAGCTATAACATCATAACCTGAGCCAAAACCAAGAGTCGGATGCTCAGTTGACTGAGCCATCCAGGCACCACCCCCGCCCCCCAGCTTGATCCCTTAACAGAAGACCATGGGGGAGGGGAAGGGGAAAAAAAAAGTTACAGAGAGGGAAGGAGGCAAACCATAAGAGATTCTTAAATACAGAGAACAAACTAAGGGTAGATGGGGGGTGGGGGAGAGGGGAAAGTGGGTGATGGGCAGGGAGGAGGGCACTTGTTGGGATGAGCACTGGGTGTTGTATGGAAAAGAATTTGACAATAAATTATATTAAAAAATATAAATAAATAAACAATTCTCCTTCAAGCATCTTACATTATAACCAGGCTACACTATGTGCTGGTCTTTTCTCTGCATTGGGTGGACATCTGTTGTATTTTCTGCTTGTCTTAAAGTGACACTACTCTTCCATCCTTCTGGAAGAAGAACCTTTCTATACTCTCAACCCAAGCCCTTCTGGTGCAAGAACTCCACTTCCTGGGGTGGGCATGTGATTCCTGCCTGGCCAATGATACCCCCCAGTCATAGTGATTGATACAGGAATGGACATGTGACCCAGGCAAAGACAGAGATGTGGAGACTCTTGCTAGGACTTTTGGGGAAAAGATGCTCAGCTATTTGAAGTTGTGTGGATGTGAGGCCAGAGTTGCTGCTGCTGTTTTGCTACCATCACATGAGAACCTACCTGAGAATGGAGTCAACCCTCAGAGAAATGGAGCCAGGAAATGAGGTGCAAGAATCCAGGACCAGGGCACTATTTTGTACCCCAGATCACCTCCTTCCTGGAGCCACTTGGCCCCCTGGATTTTTCAATTACTGAGGTAATAAACTTTATTTTTGTATATGTCAAATTTTGCAACAGGATCAGTTCTAAATGATACAGTGCCTTTCATTGCTCAGCTATCTCTAAGTTCTTTTCCTTTTTTTACAGTGTCTGAAACCTCTCATAGTTTAGACCTGGCTCAAATGCTTCTTCATCCAATAAACAAACCCTGCTTTCCTGAGCTAGAAGAACTCTCTCCCTCTGAATTCCCAGAGCATTTTACAAGTTGATCTGCTATGACACATCCCTTACTCTATTATATTCGTGGTTGGTTTGTTTTTTCTTAGATACATAGTTTATCCCCCTGTAGGCTATTGACAACTTGAAGGCAGGGCTTACGTTGTCATTGCCTTTTGATCTCACAAAGCACACAAGATGTTTCGGACAAAATGGGTCTCAATTCACATTAGTTGAGAGAACAGATGAATCAATAAAATGAACTTTGTCTCTGAGCGAGCAGTGCACTGTGGGAAGAAGCCAGCTTTGCTTCCTGGGAGGAAGAGAACAAACCACTGCTGGAGATGTTGCAATAGTCCAAGCTACCAAATCAAGAAGAGGTAGAGAAAGAGGCGGGGCTTGACAAGGACACAAGCCAGGCAGATCCAGCACTGTGCACAAGAAAGCTGTAAGAACCCAGAAGGCAAGTGTATAGAAAATTCCCTGGCTCACTCCAGGGCTTCATTTAGCCAAGAATGTCATGAGTGTCTGGGTCAGTGACTTGTACAGAATTTCTGAATTAGCTACCATTTACTGGATGCTTAGTGCTTGCCAGGCATTGTGCTAAGCACTTGACATGCATCACCTCATTTAGTCCACAAAATGACTCCGTGAGTTATTCCTCCCATTTTACAGACAAGGAAACTGGAGTGCAGAAAGATGAGTAATATCTTGCTCCAAGTCACACAGTCACTAAGTGTCAGATCCAGGATTTAACCTGAGAGTATAACCAGTGTGTAAAATGCTTAGAGAAAAAAAATAAAAAGCACAAGAAGGAGAAAGGGAAGATAAATAGGGTAAATGGTGATAGAGAAATGAGGAAAAGACAGAAACTCCAGATGACTCATTTGCTTAATTAAGAAGCATTAGGAGATGAAGTCAAGACTCCAGGAGAGGGGGAACCTGGGTGGCTCAGTTGGTTAAGTGTCTGACTTTGGCTCAGGTCATGATCTCACGGTGTGTGGGTTCAAGCTCTGCATTGGGTTCTCTGGTGTCAGCACAGAGCCTGCTTCAGATCCTCTGTCCGCCCCCCTCCCCCACCCGCCTCTCCCCTGCTTGTGCTCTGTCTCTCTCAAAAATAAATAAACCGTTAAAAAAAAAGAGTCCAGGAGAAAGAAAGGTAAGAGGAAAACTGTATGGCTTCTCTAAGGGTAAGAGGACAATGGGGACAGATCCATTCAGAGGGAGGCATGTGGCGAAGGATGATAGAGGTGCCTGATAATAGAGTGAGGTCTTTCTTACTCATTCGAATGGAATGATTCCAAGGGAAAATCCAGATTTCAGGAAGTAGGGAGTTGGACATGAACTTCACATCAACAACAAAAGGAATTTGTCCTGGAGACTATCCCTGCTGGCACCATGCCAGGACCCCTCTGAAAGACCAAGGTAATGGCTCTTGAATGCCCTTCAGGAAGAAGCAGTATATGGAAAGTGCAAGCAGTTCCAAAAAAAGCTTGGGAAATGAACTGGAGTATAAAAAAAAGGAAGACCGTGACAAGGGGAGGATATGATTAACTACAAGGCAAATGCCTTTTCTTTATTTTTTTTTAGTATTTATTTTTGAGAGAGAGAGACAGACAGAGGGTGAGCAGGGGAGGGGCCGAAAGAGAGAGGGAGACACAGAATCCATAGAAGCCTCCAGGTTCTGAGCTGTCAGCACAGAGCCCAACACAGGGCTCGAACTCACAAGCCATGAGATCATGACCTGAGCCAAAATTAGATGCTTAACCGACTGAGCCACCAGGTGCCCCTAAGGCAAATGCTGTTGATAAGGGATGGGAAGAGGCAGGTCCACACAGGAGGAACTCCGAAGACATGTTGTACATGTGGCCAGGATTCACCTAGTAGACACAGTTTACCTATCAAATTAGCAAAGATAAAAAACAACATATATCTGAGAAACAGGCCCTCTTATTCACTATTGTTAGGGATACAATTAAATAATTTTTCTGGCTGATTAGGTAATATCAAAACCCTAACAATCAAAACCTTAAAATATCAAAAACCCTAAAAATACCCAAATGGAATTGATTACAGCATTAAAAGAATGAAGATCCACTGACCAAACGAATAAGGATTCACTGAACAAGAGGAATTTTTCTAGAAACGCAAGGATGGTTTTCCACTTGGAAATCTAGTGAATAGTTCAATGCAATAATAAGCTAAAGAGGGGGAAAAAATCACATCATTAGCAATAAATGCTGAAAAGGCATTTGATAAAGTTCAACAATTTATGATTTTACCAAAGAATAGTCCACTTTTACTGAATTCTTACCACATACCATGGATTGTTACCCTATGAGGTAAAATTAAACATTTTATGGATGAGAAAACCATTATGTGGCAACTCTTCTAGAGCCTGAACACTGACAACCCCAATGTAGACTGTTTCTTTTGTTAAATGTAAAATCTATACAACCAGCTCCTATAAATTAATTTTTAAGAAATAGTTCAAAAGAAAAATGGGCCTAGGAAGGAGATGAAGAGGCGATTCATAGGAGAAAATACAAATGGTAAGCACACACACCAAAAGAAACACAAGCTCACCAGTTACCAACAACAACAACAAAAAAAGCAAATTGAAATAATAAGATATTACCAATCTATTCAATTGGTAAAAATTAAAAAGGGGTATATGAGAAAGCTGCTCTCTCCACATCCTCACAAGCACTGGCTATTTTATGATTAGCTTCTACAGTGAAACAAATAAAGCTCTTTTGTAATAAAAAGGCAACTAGGGACACCTGGGTGACTCAGTCGTTTAAGTGTCCAACTCTTGATTTTGGCTCAAGTCATGATCTCACTGTTGGTTGTGAGATCAAGCCCCAAGTCTGGTTCCGTGCTGGGTGTGGAGCCTGCTTGAGATCCGCCCTTGCTCGCTCTCTCTCTCTCTCTCTCTCTCACTCTGCCCCTCCTCCCCTAAAAAAAGAAAAAAAAAAAAGGCA